ATGCACTGCATGTTATCTCAGCTTGCAGAGCTTGGATTCACTGAATGAGTTTACTAAAAATGCAAATACTGCAGAATACACAGCCTCATGCTACATAACTAAGCTCCACTTCATGCTGAATAAACTAAATTATTAATGTATCTTAAATAGAAAACTATCTTTAGAAAGATTTTTACTCCGAAAGCATTTTATTAAAATAAATTTGATAAAAATAAAAAAATCCAATTTAAATTAAAATATATCCAATTTTTTAAATTTATTTTTTTTAAATCAACGATTTTTATCCACTCTGATTTTGTTCCATTTTACAACCTTTCTTGACACAGTTGTCATGTGAATCACTGCAGTTATTAAATTAGCAGCACAGATGTTAAGTGAATCTGGTTTCCCCTCTAACTTCGCTTGTCCCAAGGTTGCAAAAGAGGATCATGTGACTGTGGGACCCTGCAACCTGTCTTGAATATGAGTTAGATGCCAAGCGTCCGATTTTTGACCATATGACCATGTGAATGCTGCAACGGTCATAAATGTGAAAAAGATCAAAGGTAACTTTTTATAATGCCATTGTAACTTTGAATGGTCACTAAATCAAGTGTTGTAAGTCAAGGGCAACCTGTACTACAAGGCAAAATGTTTAATAAAGGCTAGTCTTGCTTCAGTATAACTCTGAGGAATCATAAAACCATAACTTCTATTGTTAAAAAAAAAAATTAATATAACAGGATGAGATAAGTCTGCCACAGCAAACAGGAAAGGCGGATCTTTGATTAAACTGAGGAAAAGCCCAATTACCACAAAGGAAGAGGAGAATGTAATGGATGTCTCTTCTAGTCATAAAGTGGTTTAATCCAACATGTTTAAAATATTTTGAATCTCTTAACATCAGCTCACAGATATGTACTGAATTGCAAGTCCAATTGGGGAGTAGGAAATCCCTGTTTTATTTAACATATATAAAATCATATAAAATATAAAAAAGAAAACTGAATGGGCAGGTAGAACTATACTAATAGCAGCCAAGAAATTGTCAGAAACTCCACAGACATCCTAACCTCAGACATAGGAACAAAGCCAGCCATTCATTGTTTATTTAAAGCTTTGTTTAGCTGCCCATCTTAAACAACTCTGGGTGGCTCAGGAAAACCTTAATACCAGTAACTATTAAACAAATGAACAAACAAACAAAAACCCCAAGCCTTAATCATCCTGTTAGGATGCCTTGTCTCAAGCCCCAATTACCTTCCTTCTATTTCTTCTACTTTAGTCTATCTTCCCAAAGGCTAAAAAGGGCGATGGTCTTGCCAAATTGCTGGAAGGAAATATTCCATGAGTTCTTAGAGGTTTATGAATTATATGAAGGGAGAGAACTATAGTTATTTTGGGAGGAAAAGTATGCTTTTCACAGGCCAGATACCGTATCAGAGAATATATGACCCCTTGGACAATGGATGTTGTTCATTAATGACAATATTTAATATAAGGAACCCAGATCATATCCACTTTGCTTGATTTTACTGGATGAGTGGAAACTATTAGAGACAGATACTCCCTCAAATAATCAGATCTCTCCAGGAAGGGCTTTATAGGTAACAACCAGCATCTTGAATTCTTCCTGGAAGTCAGCTAGCAACCAATGCTATTCACAAAGCAGTGATAACATATGGACATTAACATGAAATAGTCATTACTGTCTGCATCCCTGCATTTATGTAGTTGCAAGAAGTTGAATTTAAGAATCCTCTATATAAGAGGAAGATATTTTGTCACCTATAAAAGATGAGGTGCACTTTGTTTTACAATAAAAAGATTCAGGCTTATTTGGCTCTAGTTTCTGTTAACTAAATACACACTCCTCCTTTTACACAACTCTAATGTTGTTTTCCAGCTATCTGGGCTGATCGTTTTATGTTTTTTCTTCCTTTCCTATCCTATACACCTGCCTTTGTTTCCTTCACCTATGAGAAGGTAAGGTGGGATGGGATAAGAGTAGCTGGTCTTGGAAATATGGTAAGAGAAACGAGGTGTCCAAGTAATGAAAGCAATTGTTAGTCAAGATCACCAACTGCTGGAGGCTATAATCAACTTTGTAACCATTAACAGCCAATTTTTCTTGTTGTCATTCAGGCTGCAGACATCAGTTTGCTTTGGATAATAGCTAAGAACTAAGATTTTTCTTCATCTCTATAGCACAAAGTAAATGCTTATCCAGTAAACTCTGTCAGTAAATTATATACAGGCAATCCTCAACTTATGACCACAATTGAACCCAAAATTTATGTTACTAAGACAGAAAATTGCTAAGTGAGTTTTGACCTATTTTACAACTTCTTACATTTGTTAAGTGAATGAATTGCTGCAGTTGTTAAATTAGTAACATGGTTGTTAAGTGAATTTGGTTTCCCCATTGACTTTGCTCATCAGGTCACAAAAGGGGACCACATGTCTCTGGGACAGTGCAACCGTCATAAATATGAGTCAGTTGCCAAGCGTCTGAATTATGATCATATGACTACGGAGATGCTGCAATGACCATAAGTGTGAAAAGCGATCCTAAGTCACTTTTTCAATGCCACTGTGACTAAATGAACTGTTGTAAGTTAAGAGCTATTTGTATTTACTCAAAAATAAGTCAGATTATATTCAGGGAATTTCAGATATATGTACATAGAATCATAGTCATTACCATTGAATTAACATTACAACTGCACTTATATTGTACTAAACCATTGTTTACTGAATAAGCCACAACTGGTAGAATTTCAACAACACACTGAGCCCAAATCAAATGAATATTATAGTTTGCCATGCTCTGTGAACTAGGCCTGAATGCCCATGTGATGCCAATTAAAATATCATTTTTTGTTCCAATTCTGAAGCTGGAAAGAGAGACCAAGATTCTGTTATGGCTGCCTTCTACTGGCCAGCCAGTTTCAGCTTTTCACTTTAAACATGAACCTACAAGAATGAAATGAACATAAATTATCTTTTTCATTCACAAATGTTCTCAGCAGGTAAGGAATATCCTTACCCATTTTTCAACTCTAGCTTGTGAAGATTTTTTTTGCCCAAGAATAAAGTATTTGTCACCATTAGCAGAAATGTGGAAATCTGACCTAAGAAATCCATTTTTCTTCTTTTCAATTCATTTGTACATAAACTGAAGACACGCTCTTGATAGGCTTTTCTATATTTCAGAATTTTTTTAACAATTACTTTCAAGAGATCTTAATTAATGGCTTTTCCTGTGGTACATTACTCAGATAGAACTCTTGTGAATAAAACTAGAGTCTGAGGTATAAATGTCTTTATAAATATTAAATCTCTGGACCTGGAGATAAATATGTTTATTATCTGAAAGCTTATAAGAAATTATTGGATCAAGGCAGATCATGGAGGAAGATAGAAAGAATTAACAAACTAGTCAAGATATATTAGAGGAATCTGGGAATGCACTATAAATTCAGTAAATAAATATGGTGCCTCTGAAGTTTCAAGACAGGAATAATCTACCACTGAATAGAAGTGTGTGTTTGTCTGATATGGTTCCTTTTATGCTATAGCTGTTGATTTCGTAGCCTGACTTTATTTATAATTCAATTAGAACACAACAGAATAAAAGAGTTGGAAGAGACTCTGGAGATCTAGTCGAACTCCCTGATCAAGCAGGAATCCAACACCATTTCAGACAAATGATCGTCCAATCTCTTCATACTCCCCACTCCCTATACAATATTGTATTCTTTTAACACATACAAGTAGTTCTCGATTTACAACAGTTTGTTTAGTGACCATTCCAAGTTACAACTGCACTGAAAAAAGTGACTTATGACCATTTTTCAAACTTATGACCACTGCAGCATTCTTATGGTCATCTGATTTACATTCAGATGCTTAACAACTGATTCACATTTATGACGGTTGCAATGTCCTGGAGTCATATGTGAGCACCTTCTGAAAAGCAAAGTCAATGGGGATTCACTTAAACCAAATTCACTTAACAACCGTGTTACTAATTTAACAACTGCAGTGATTAACAAATGTGGCAAGAAAAGTTGTAAAATGGGGCAAAACTCACATAGCAAATTTTTCACTTAGCAACATAAACTTTGGGCTCAATTGTGGTCGTTAAATTGAGGCTCAGAGATTGCAAGATTCAAGAGCCTGAGCCCAGACTAAGGCTAGGTGAGAATCTGAATTTAAATGCCAACACTTTAGCCAATCCATCATTTGTAGCAGAAAACACACAGCAACGTTGAGGAAGCTCAGTTCTTCGCTGGCTCCGCCAAAATGAGACAGAAAACATTCCGAGAGACCTTCTTCAAGTCGGTAGTGCGACCACCAAAAAGGCCACTGCGCACATATAAAATGATTTCGCTGTATAAGACGGAAGGAGAAGCAATGGGAAAATGAAAGTGTTACGAATGAAATACGATTTTTAGAACTCCCATACAATGTCATGAACAGTTGTTCTTTTTTTTTTTTTTGTTTCGCGGGGAGGAACTTGCTAACGAAGATCAGACACAATTCAATACAGAAAACTTGCGGGGGCGGAAGGCGGGCTACGGCATCGGGTTGCAGCAATTGCAACGTCTGGGAGTTTGAGAAAAGACGACCGAGAAAAGAAAAGAAAAAAGCAAAACCCCTCGAAACAAGCAGAAAGCGGGCCGATTCTCGGACACTGTTCACTTCCCTTCGTATTTTAAACTCCTCCTCCCGGGGCGCTCAGTCGCGGGAGGCGAATTAGTAACGCAAGAAGCGGTCCGGCATTCCGGACCGAAGTTAAACCGGACAGTGGAAAAGAAACTCTATGGACAGTTAAGCGAGGCAGAGGACAAACCGGGAGGCTGAAATAAATAAATAAAAATAAAAAGGATTGTCTGAAGAAGCCGCGGCGCTCCTCTCTCTCCACTCAAGAGCCATCTCTGACAGCAGAAACAGAGATCCGCCATAATCAAAGCGTTTTGAAAGGCGAGCGGGGGCGGCGCAGAGCAGAAACCCACCTGTCGGGGGGACGGGGGAAAGAGAAGGAGAACCCGGGCGACCACCTGCAGCCTTCTCCGCAGTTCAGCCTGAGCCTATGAAGAAAGTGAACGCTACGGAAAGGGGAAGAAGGCAACCGGTTACAGCCCCGCCTCGCCCGCCGCGCAATCACATCCTCCCATTTAGCGTGAAATCCCGCCTCTTACGGCTGCTCCCGCGCGGGGGAAGCTGAAGAAGAAAGGCCTTTAATAGACCAATCGCCAAATCTTCTCCAGGAAGCCGGGCGGCCATTCGCTTCTAAGAGTACTTACATCACTGGCGTAGAACCGCCTTGGCGTGGTCTTCCAATCCCGCCTCTTTTCAGATCGGTGGCTGGCAGTGCTCGTGATTTCTTTTAAGTCATTCGGGATAGAGAGAAATGCTAGCCTGTCTCCTGGTTTTCTTTTTTGTACATTTTGGTCTTCCTCCTCCTCTTTCATACACGGAAGTGAAAACTGATAGTACACATTTAATGGAGAATATTAAGAGGGCATGGCGTGTCTATAATATCTATGTTAGAAACATTCACGCAATGATTTTCTGTGTCATAGACCCTGAAAGAGAAAGCTAAAAGAAACAAAATAAGAGTATTGACACTTTGGGAATGTAATATTGGAAAAAACTAAAAATATCAAGGGTAAGTAAACAAATAGATCATGTAACCAATCGATTCAGAGTTCTCACCTGATGATCAGGCACAGATTATATGTTGGACACATTACATGAAGACTTTACTTTCTTGAGAAGTCCATTATGCTAGGAGCAAAGGAAAGAAAAGAATAAGACAATCAGAAGTGAAAGTCAATTACAGCAATGATAGGTGTGTTGTTAGAAGGTCTGAAGGGGCAAATTAGGGGCCGATTCAGGCTGTCTACCTGTGAGGTTGCTAAAAGTCGATGCAGACTTGATAGGAAATAATCAAGAGTTTGCCAAGTTGTGATCTGTCAATGTGCTCCTACTACAAAGTATCCTATAAAGAAAACCACTCTTCTCCACATTGGTAACTGGTGTTAAAAACATCAACGAATTATAGAACTGCAGCAGGAATGTTTATTGTCATTGCACATCATACAACAAAATTAAATACCATCTTCAGTGTACGTTATGACTGAAAATAAACACAAACACACATCCTTCACATTCTATACATTGAATTGAAAACCCATGATATTGCATTAATATTGCACTATACAGTAGAATTCAATAGAGTTACTGCCCTGGGATAGAAGCTGTTTTTCAGCCTATTTGTCCTTGTTTTTATTATCTTGTACGTCTGCCAGATGATAATAGTTCAAAAAACAAAAGGGTGCTCAGGATGAGATGGATCTTTGAGAGTGTTTTGAATGGAGCAATTCTGTTTGAAAGACTCAAGTCTATCATCATTCATCTGCTTCCTATGCCCCAAGCTGTCATAACTTCTAAGATTTTTTTTCAAGATACTGTAATGAAAATCTCTCTGATGAATTTCATGTATCTGTGGATAGCATTCACTTATTTTGGCTATCTCACATTTTTCTTAGAAAAATGTTAGAATTAAGATTAAGGTTATTGATTGATTAAGATTAAGGTTATTGATTGATTGATGATTGGTAATGATCTCTGCAAATTGTACCCACAACTTTTCTAGCGCATAAAACATAGAAAATAGAATATTAGAGTTCAAAGGGACTTTGGAGGTCTTCTAGTCCATCCCCCTGCTCAAGCAGAAGAACCTAAATAATTTCAGATAAATGGTTGTCTAGTCTCTTTTTGAAAGCCTCTAGTGATGTACCCATAACTTCTGAAGCTATTCCATTGATTGATTGCTTTCATTGTTAGGAAATTTCTCATTAGTTCTAGGTTGCCTCTCTCCTTGGTAATTTTCATCCATTGTTTCTCATCCTGCTTCCAAGTGACCTTGGAAAATAGTTTGACCCCCCACATCTTTGTAGGAGTCCCTCAAATATTGGAACACTGGTATTATGTCTTCCCTGGTTCTTCTTTTAATTAGACTACCGAATTTCTACAACCATTCTTTGTAAGTTTGGCTTCCAGCCCCCTTATCATTTTTGTTGCTCTTCTCTGCACTCTCCAGAGTCTCAAAATCTTTTTTTTTTAAATCATGGTGACCAGAATTGAATGCAGTATTCCAAGTAAGGTCTTATTATGGTTTTGTAAAGTACTAGAATGTCATGTGATCTTCATTTTATCCCTCTTAGATAGAATCCAATGAAGCCTAAAATTGCATTGACTTTTTTGGTTGCTACCCGCACTGTTGGCTCATATTTAAGTGACTATTCATTAGGACTCCAAGATTCCTCTCAGAATTACTGGCATTAAGCCAGTAGTATTTGTTCCTTCATTCCATTGTTTTATTACTTCAGCCTTGCACTAACTAGTGGTTCTCAAACATCTTGATCTTAGGACTCCTTTGCATTCATAAGAATGGTTGTGGACTTCAAGAGCTTGGGTTATGTAATACAGCATATCATACATGGACTTGCATCATACATTAACCTCTTAGCTAGATTAGTAAAACATGGTAAAATATAAATGTTAAAAAAGATCTATGTTCAAATATCAATATCTTGGCCATCTAACCATGGAAGCACAGCATTGTTTATATTTAAAAAAATCAGATATTGGTCCAGTATATGCTTCAACTTACAGCCGGTCACAATGTGATCTGCAGTTTGATGTGGGACCCAGCAATCACACTAAGGGGATAATACTATGCCCCATTTATACAGAGTCCTGGCAGATACCATGTGAGGTGAAAAATCTATTCAGGATTGTCCATTACTAACATGGTATTTCAAAGCTGAGTACCTTTTTTGTGGGGTCATTTGTATGTCTGCCTATGTGTGCCCATTCAGCAACCATTTGGCTTTCCTTTGGGAATCTGTTAAAATTGTTGATGTTGTGCAAGTGCCAGTAAGTTCTTCCATTTGAGTCTTCTAGCAAATAAATGAGGGGATTGGCATGAATTGGTAGAAATGAATTTTTCATAATTTTTCTGTATTCTCTCACTAGTGCATCTTGCCTTTGTAAAGCTTGTGTGCTATATGGCTCAGAAAAGGAAGCCAGCAAGTTGAGTGGTTTTAATATATCCACTTATAATCTCAAGGTGTCATTGAGTCCGTCGTCTACCTTACTAGTATGGCAGCTATTGAGCCACATAGGGACACAGTATTCTGTTGTGGAGTAGACTAATCCTTGTAGGGATTATCCTTGAGGGTAGCAGTTGAAGTTCCTCATTTAGTTCCACAAAATTGTTGTATGTTGTTCCTAGTATTTATTTTAGCTGTCCTATTCTCTAGATGTAACTTATAGGAAAGAATCCAGTCAATGTTTCTCCAAGGTACCTTGAATGGGGATTATAGGAGAATGAGATGTTGTTTAAATAGACCTTCAGGGCTTCATATGCTAGTTTGTTGTTAAAGTGGAAGCATGTCATCATTTTGCTGGTGCTAGGAGTAAGCCTCCAGTCAGTGAATAATTTTCCTTTTTTTTTTCTTGTATTGCTATGGCCAAAGCATCATTTGAGGCCACTTGTCACCAGCATATCTGATATGTGTTAAGTTGAATACTGTAGGTGCCACTAAAAAGCCTTTGGGGAGACCATTGTTTAATCACCTTATCTTACTTAATGTTGTCCCCCATTATCTGAAAGGATTTATCACTCATCGTATTATTAGTTAGTCACCAGAGATTTTTGCAGGGGATAATATGGCAGTTTGTATATCAACCTGTCCTTCCAAACTAAGTCATCTGCCTCAATTAGGTCTATGAATATAGCCATGATTTTGTGACCTCATTGGAATCCTGCTTCAATATAGCCTGTTACGCTTAGCACCTGGTCTACACAGCTCCTGTATTGTCGGAAGCCAGTTTCTTCCACAGGCAGATGTTCATCTATTATGGGACCTATCCTGTTTATAATGAATCTTCAGAAGTTTGTAGCAGGAGTTCAAAAGAGTGATTGGGTGGTAACTTCCAATTCTGTTTTGTGGTTTGCCAGGTTTTAGAAATGATGTCATTTTACCTTTTTGGAATTCTGGTTGGGAGGCAGCTATTGAAAACTACATCTGAGAGAAATTTGCCAATCCACCTCTGAGTTTATCAGGATTTCTGCATGAATGCCACCGACGTCTGGTGCTTTACCACATTTCCGACTACCAAAGGCAGTGTCAATTTCCTTTATAGAGAAGGGACAAAATGAAAAGCTGAAAGTGCTTACTTGATGAGAGTGGGGTATATCTTCACCCTTGGAGCTTTAGAGAGAGGTGCAACTCAAGAAGCTATTTAGACAGAAGTTATATTGGGTGTTGTCTTGCTTCACCCAATTTCCTGAATAGGCTTCAAGCTTTCTTGCTAGATTTGAAATTTAGTGATTCTGTGTATTGTTCCCATTTCTTATGTCGATCTACGTTCAAGCTGTGTAAGAGATCATTGGCGATTTCCAGGTCACCACTCTGTAGGAAGGTCTGGTAGAGTCTTTCAGTTTCTTCATTCCAACCTTGGATGTACTCTTTTATGAATCCTTACGGTCTATGTCTTTTTGCTGAGGTTATTATTGCTTTCACAAATCTATGATAGTGCTGACTACTTGGTGGAATCCGCTGTATAGTTCTATCAAGATTTTCAGCAAATTCAGACCAACTGACGTTTAAAAAAGTTCTATCTGGGTGTATGGGTAGAGTGAATTAGGGGAATTTGGAGTACAACTTCTAACAAGATAGGCTCTGTGGGAATATATCATTACTTTCTTTTTTATGGGGACTGGCTGAAAGTTTGGGCCTTCTATGATGAAGCACAAGTCTGGATTGTTTTTGTAATTCCATGTTACCTATTTAAATGTGTTTTAGGATTGAAAATCAGCTGGACTTTGTTTGCTGCAGTTTGGGCCTTCTTGTTGGGCAATAGTTCATAACTGTTGTCATCAGTAGAACAGTATTTCCAATTAACATGATGGCTATTGAAGTTGCTTGCATAGATTGTTGAATGTGGCTTGATGTTCAGGACATGCTATGGCCATGTTGCTAGAGGTGGTTTATAGATATTCACTATTGTTAGATCACATAGTTTGGAAATTACTTTATGTGCATTGTTTATAGAGACTGACAACAAGGAAGCATTTTCTTGTAGCGGCACCATAGCTGTGGTGGTAGGTGGCTCCCAACAGGTCATAATCATGAATCTTGCCTCTGCAGAGTTGCTGTTCTTTATTTTGTATGCACATTTCTTGGAAGATAGCCATATGTTACTGTCCAATAAAAGTTTGGAAACATATTGGCTCTTGGATTCTTGCTGAATCCCTCAACATTGATTTAGCAAATTCAAATAATATTCCCAATCTCTTGTCATTTGGGCCTGAAAAGGTTGGGGTTTTTTGTACTCATTTTTGTTGCCATGTATTTTGAGAGCCAGGAAAGTTTATAGCATAGTCTGGCTATCAGCAAATGAACAGCACATGTTATCTAGTTCTTTAAGAAGACAATTTCAGAATGAAGACAAACAAGACTGAGAAAAAGTAGTGGAAGAATAGCCCCATATCTCCCAGAAGTAGCCAATAAGCACCAGAATTTCCTAAAGGATATGGAGAAGCATAAGAGATTTACTATCCATGACTGTGATTAGATGTTGATTTGAGAGGGAAAAACTACTTTAAAATCAGTACAACCAGGGACAACCTAAACCTGTTTCAGTCAAGACCTACAGATAAGATTAAGACCATACAAGACTTGGCAACATCAGTAGGGAAAAAAAAGAGATGCTGCTAAGGCTTTGATGTAGTGTGACAATTTAATGATCAGTTCACAAGCTGATAAAGAATCAGATTGTAGGGTAAACAGCTGCAAAATTTTCCATTCTGGTATCTGCAAAAAAGGTGTGCCTCCACTGCAGTTCACAGAGAAGTCATTGAGTAACTTACTCCCCTAAGATATTTTAGAGAATAAATTAATTCTGCATGAGTAATAAATCAGTTGCTAAAATTCCTGTAAACCTGTTGCTTCCTGCTTAATAAATCATGCTCTATAAGAAACCTGCTCGAAAGAGTTACTTTCAGTTTGAAACAGTTGACAGAAGCTTAACAGGTTAGAGGCAAGTGGGGAAAGGCCAATTGAGAATAAGAATACAAAAACATACATACATACAAACAAAACCACTATTCAATTCTTTCAAATAAGTCAAGGACATTAGGATACAGAACCAATCTTACACCAGCCAAAGCATTATTATGGAGCCTTCCCCTTTGATGGGCATCTGATGGGCAGCTACCTTCTTTTGTCAGCATTGCATTACAACTCTACCTGTTTTATGCATATATACAATGTTCTGTACAGACATCTGCATACTCGAAATCCGGCAGCCCGGATTGGCTAAAGCGCACGGCCACCGGATTGGCTGAGTGCGCGGCACTGATTGGTCGTTCGGAATCGACCGCGATTGGCTGAACCGATCGCGGGCGATTCAAAACGACCCGATTGGCCGCAGCACTCGGCAGAAAGCCTTTTTAAGCCGCGCTTTTTCCCCACTCTCCCCACTTGTGTTTTTACCCCAATAAATGAGCTGAACCAAGTCACTGACTCGCGTCCTTTGTTCGTATGAGATATACGACACTGGCGACGAAGGTGGGATTCTAACAAAATTCCACATCGCACGTGGCCCACGGAACCGCAACCGGCAACATGGCCAGCGGCAACGTGCCACCCGCTCCTTTCAACGCGGCTACCGAGGACTGGGAATCTTACATCGACAGATTCCTCATGTTCTTAGAGAGTAGCAATCTCAAGGACGCAAATGGGCAGAGGAAACGAGCCGTTTTTCTCACACACTGCGGCCCCGCGGTCTTCAAAATGGCAAAAGCCCTTGCCAAGCCGATCGATGTGAAGATCATGGACTGGGCCGATCTCGAACCTCTGCTGAGGAACCACTACGCGCCCGCTGTGCCCACCCTCATTCGGCGGCACGAATTCTATCGCCGCGACCAGAAGCCGGGTGAGAGCGTCAGCAAATTTGTGGCTGAACTCAGGGACCTCGGAGGGCTGTGCGGGTTTACCGACTTAGACGAGGCTCTACGGGACCGCGTCGTCCTCGGCCTCCGGGACACCGTCCTGCAAAGCCGGATCATGGCGAAAGGCGACATCGCCCTCGCCGATGCCCTTGCAGAAGCCACAGCGGCGGAAGCAACCCGGAGATCAGCGGCCCAGCTGAAGCAAACCGGCACCGCGGAACGGGCCGCCGCAGCCGCGACACCCGAAAACCGGACCGACGACAACTACCGGGCGGCCACATCCACGCACCACGGCGACCTCGAGTCCCCCTCCGGATCGGAAGACGACGAGGAAGACGTCCATCGCCTGCAGACGGGACGAGACAGGCGCGAACCACGGAACCGAAAATCGAAGTTCCAGTGTGCCGGCTGCGGGGGGGAGCACCCAAGGTCAGAATGCCGTTTTTTCGACGCGATCTGCCGCCATTGCGACAAACGGGGACACATCGCAAAGGTCTGCCGTTTCAAGAGGAACCACAGCCCCCGCCACCGAGACACCACCCCCCGGAGGCGCGAAAGTGCCAGGCGCAACAACACCCCGCCGAGGAACCGCGATCGGGACGGTGAGAGCCGCTGGAGCCGGGAATCGAGGAGCCGCCGTTTCCACGAAGGCCGCCAGCGCGAGGAAACCCACCAAACGGTCATCGTCGGCCATTCCTCCAACTGGGACGGCCGGAAAGTCCACGTGGAGGTCGAAATCGAGGACCGCCCCTGCAAAATGGAGGTCGACTCCGGATCGTACCTGTCCATGGTCGCGTGGCGGGAAATTAAGCGACTGGTACCTTCCATGAAGCGGCACGAGCTGGAGAACCAGACGCTCATCCTTAAAGATTACCAGGGGAATCGCATTCCCGTGGTAGGGACCGGGCACTTCAAGGTTACCTTCAAAGGGCGCACCGAGATACTTCCGCTAACCGTCGTCGAACGAGACCGCCCCAGCCTCTTGGGACTGCAATGGCTTGCGCCGCTGGGACTAGAAGTGACCGGCACCAACCACGTCGCCGAGGCGGACTGGGAGGAACAGCTCGTGCGCGAGTTCCAGGAGGTCTTCAACGGAAATCTAGGCAAGTACCGGGGCCCCCCAATATCCTTCAGCCTAGACCCCACCATTGCTCCCATCCGCCTCAAACCCCGGCGAGTGCCTTTCGCTCTCCGGCCCAAAATCGATGAACAATTAAACAAGCTCATCGAACAAGGAGTCCTCGAAGCCACAGACCATGCCCGATGGGAGACCCCTATAGTCACCCCGATAAAGCCAGACGGGTCTGTGAGAATCTGCGGGGACTATAAGGCAACCCTGAACCGCGCGCTACAACAAAGCGCCTACCCCGTCCCAGTAGTACAACACCTCTTGCACTCGCTGGGAGGGGGCAGGGTTTTCGCCAAACTCGACCTGGCCCAAGCCTATCAGCAATTGCCGGTCGACGAGGAAACCGCCGAGGCGCAGACAATAGTTACCCACCGGGGGGCTTTCCGTTGCAAGAGGCCCCAATTCGGAGTCAGCGTAGCCCCGGGAGTATTTCAAAGCCTCATGGAAAGACTCCTCCGGGGCATAAAAGGGGTAGTGCCTTACTTCGACGATGTGTTGGTAGCCGGGGCTGACCAGAAACAATTAGAGGACCGCCTACGGGAAGTACTGAGGAGATTCCAAAGTGCGGGGCTCAAGGTTAAGAGAGAGAAGTGCCAACTGCACACGGCACGGGTCGAGTTCCTGGGGTACTTACTAGATCGGCATGGAATCCACCCCACCGAGGGCAAAATAAAAGCCGTTAAAGAAGCCCCAAAGCCCCGAAACAAAACGGAATTACAAGCGTTCCTGGGGTTGATTAATTTCTACAATGTTTTCCTGCCCCAAAAGGCGACCGTGGCAGAGCCGTTGCATAGGCTGCTCGACAAGGCAGCCACCTGGACGTGGGGGAGACGAGAAGAGGACGCCTTCAACAGAACCAAGGACCTTCTCACATCAGATGCTGTCCTCATCCAGTACAGCGAGACACTCCCCATCACGGTAACGTGCGACGCATCCCCTTTCGGAGTAGGAGCTGTCCTCAGCCATACCCTCGCCGACAGAAAAGAAGCACCCATCGCCTTTTTCTCGAGGACCCTTTCAAAACCCGAACGAAACTACAGCCAATTGGATAAAGAGGCTCTAGCCATCGTCGCGGCCGTAAAGAAATTCCACGAATACCTTTACGGCAGGACCTTCACCATAATCACGGACCACAAACCGCTGCTGGGAATACTGGCAGGAGACCGGGCCACCCCAATCATCCTCTCTCCAAGGATGACAAGGTGGTCCGAATTTCTCGCCGCCTATAATTACCGGCTAATCCACCGCCCCGGTAAGACAATTCCGCACGCAGACGCCCTCAGCCGCACACCGCTGCCAACCCTGGACGCTGACCCAGCACCAACCACGTCAACCCTGAGCATCGAGACCTTACCCAACCTACCCCTGACCGCGTCAGACATTGCCCTAGCAACCAATAAAGACAAACGTCTGGCGCAGGTCCTGAGATGGGTGGGGAAAGGCTGGCCGGAAAAAGATGGGGACAGCGAGTTCAAAGCTTACCGGAACCGACAAACAGAACTGTCAATACAAAAAGGTTGTTTACTGTGGGGGGACAGGGTCGTAATTCCGGAAAAGTTACAAAAAAGAGTCCTGAGCATGCTGCACGAAGGGCACCCCGGCATCGTCAGGACAAAAGCCCTGGCCAGAAGCCACGCCTGGTGGCCAGGGATGGACAAGGAGATCGAAGCCTGGGTAGCCTCCTGCAAGCAGTGCCAGGAATCAAGACCAAACCCCCCAGCCGCCCCAATCCGGGAGTGGGAAACCCCCAGGGGGCCATGGTCCCGAATCCACGTAGACTTCGCGGGACCAACCAGAGGACACACCTTCCTGGTAACCGTAGACGCTTACTCCAACTGGCTGGAGGTAAGCAACATGAAGACGACCACCACAGACTCCGTCATCAGACAACTCAGCAAACTCTTCGCAACCCACGGCCTCCCAGATGTCATCGTATCAGACAATGGGCCCCAGTTCACCGCACTACCGTTCGAGAAATTCTTAGCAGAACGAGGGATCCGGCACGCACTAACGGCACCGGCGCACCCGGCGGCGAACGGTAGAGCGGAGAAAATGGTTCAATTTACAAAAAAGACCATTCAAAAGATCGAAACCGGGGACATACAGGACAAGATTAATCGGATGCTCCTAATTCAACACATAACCCCGAGTACCACAACGAACAAAAGCCCAGCGGAGCTACTAATGGGAAGAAAACTGCGATCCCCGCTCGACCGCCTGCACCCCACATACAACCCGGAAAGACCCCCTGACTCTACCAGCAAATACAGAACATTCTCACCAGGAGACAAGGTCTACGCAAGAAACCTCACCGGAGACCCCCTCTGGGTACCGGCGACGATCACCCAAGCAACAGGCCCACTCTCGTACCGCCTCCAAACAGCTGACGGACGAGCGTGGAAACGCCACATCGACCAACTGAGATCAAGAGCCACCGCGGGAAACACAACTGACACGCAGACACCAGGTACAGAAGGGAACTGGCAAGACACCAACCAAGAGGGGAGGGAAGCCCCCAAAGAACAAAAAGAACAAACCCACCCAAAAAGGAACCAGCAGTACTCACCATCTGAAGAACCGGAGAGCGACCCACTCGAAGCCTCACCTGGAAGGAGCAGCCGAGCCAGCTCAACCGACCCCGGAAGCCCGAGCGGGAGCAGCCAAGCCAGCTCAACCAGCCCGGAAAAGCCGAGCGGGAGCAGCGAAGCCAGCAGCTCGACCGACCCGGGAAGACCAGGAGGGAGCCGCGGCGAGAGGCCTGACTCACCCTTCCAGGCGGTTCCATCAACGAGGCGGAGAGCGACAGGAGTCCCACCCGAACCGGCCGACAACCAGGAGACAACTGACCAGCGCAAGTCAAGTCGGAAAATACGGAGCCCCGCCTACTTACGGGACTACGTCACGTAGGACCAAACCAAGAGGGGAGGGGTGTTCTGTACAGACATCTGCATACTCGAAATCCGGCAGCCCGGATTG